TAAAAAAAAAAAAAAAAAAAAAGAGCCCTGGCTGGTTGGCTCAGTTGTCTGGAGCATCATCCCGTACACCAAAAGGTATGAGTTTGATTCCTGGTCAGGGCACATATCTAGGCTGGGGCAAGTACAGGAAGTAACTGATCAATGTTTCTCTGTCATGTTGACGTTTCTCTCTCTCTCTAAACATGTCCTCAGGTGAGGATTAAAAAAAGGGAGAGAATCTATTAGATGTGAGCTTTCTTGCCATCAAACATATAAACTAAACCTGAACCTGCAACCATCTTTTCTTCCCTTTTCCTTTCATATTTTCAATTACAACAGAAATGAAGTCTCTGCTCCTTCCTAAGTATAGTCCCTCCTCTTGTGCTTTGGATTTTCTTGTCTTCTCAAGGACCTAGTCACCCTCATTCTCTGCCTTTGAAATCTCTTTGCCCAGGTCTCCAATGGTTTCTTTGTGGATAAATCAAATGGACACAGCATTATTTACAATAGCCAAGATGTGGAAATAGCCAAAGTGTCCGTCAGTAGATGAGTGGATAAAAAAGCTGTGGTAGCCCTGGCTGGTATAGCTCTGTTTGTTGGGCATCGTCCCATGCAACCAAAGGTTGTCAGTTTGATTCCCAGTCAGGGGACATGCCCAGGTTGTGGGATCAATCCCTGGTTGGGGCTCATGTGGGAAGCAACCAATCGATGTTTTGGGAGGCAATGGATCGATGTTTCTTTCTCACATCGATGTTTCTCTCTCACATCGATGTTTTGTTCTCTCTCTCTTTCCCTCCTTCTCCCTCTCTCTCTAAAAATCAATAAAATTGTATTTTTTAAAAATTAAAAAAAAAGCTGTGGTTCACTTACGCAATGGAATACTACTCGGCTATAAAAAAAAAATAGGGAAATCTTACCTTTTGCAACAGCATGGTTGGACTTAGAAAATATTATGCTAAGTGAAATAAGCCAGTCAGAGAAAGACAAACACCATATGATTTCACCTACATGTGGAATCTAATGGGCAAAATAAACTAACAAAATAGAAACAGAATCATAGATACATAGAACAGACTGACAGCTGTCAGAGGGGAGGGGGATTTGGGGGCTCGGTGAAAAAGGTGAAGAGATTAAGAAGGAAAAAAACAAACACATAGACACTAGCAACAGTATGGTGATTGCCAGAGGGACAAGGGGATGGGGGGAAGGGGAAGGTGGAAGAGAATAAAGGGGATAAATGGTGGCAGTAAGAGACTTGACTTTAGGTGGTGAACGCACAACACAGTATGCAGGTGATATGTTACAGAGTTGTACATATGAAACTTGTATAGTTTTATTGACCAGTGTTACCCCAATAGATTCAATAAAAAATTTTTAAGAAATGGACTTTTTTTTTTAATCCTCACCCGAGGACATACTTAGAGGAAGAGAGAGAGAAAGAGAGAAACATTGATGTGAGAGAGAATATCAATTGGTTGCCTTCCCATACCTGCCCTGACTGGAGATCAAACTCACAACCCAGGTATATGCCCTGACTGTGAATCAAACTGGCAGCTTTTCAGTATACAGGATAATGCTCAGTCAACTGAACCAGTCCGGCCAGGCTAGATACTTTTTGGTCCTTATCTTACTTGAACTTTTAAAAGGGTTTGACTTCTTGTTTGAAATATTTTCTTCTAATTAATTGAGTTCCATGCTTTAAAGAAAATATTTCTAATTCTCTTTTTTTAAAAAAATATATCTTTATTGATTTCAGAGAGAGGAAGGGAGAGTGGGAGAGGGAGATAGAAACATCAATGATGAGACTCGAGTCATTGATCGGCTGCCTCCTGCACGCCCCCTGCTGGGAATTGAGCCCGCAACCCGGGCATGTGCCCTGACTGGGATTTGAACCTTGATTTCCTGGATCATAGATTGATGCTCAACCGCTGGGCCACGTCCGTCTGTGCTCTAATTCTCTTAGGTGCTCTTCTCCGTTTTCTTTTAGATGCTTATGTTCCTCTGTTTGCCCCAGTTTAGTTCACTCACTCATCCCCTGCAGTATTCCTAAAGAGTTAAACATTTCCATGAGTAACAGTGATGCAGTGTCAGGGATCTGCTAATGAAGGTAGAGGATAGGATTAATAGGGTGGTTGTGCAGGTGCATAGTTTGAAACTTTGTGAGGTGTGTCTGATTTGCCTCCTATAGGAATGAGAAAACAACAAAAGAAGCATTATAAATATTTAAAGAAGACTTTTCTCTAAAGACAGTCAGTCCTCAAATGCCAAATCTAATGACCAGTATTCATCCTTCATTGTGTTGGACTTTTTTACTACTCACCTGAGTACATGCTTAGAGAGAAGAAGGGGGAGAGAGAGACAGAGAGGAAGACTGATGTGAGAGAGAAACATCAGTCAGTTGCCTTCCATACATGTCCCGACTGGGGATTGAACCAGGGGTTGAACCTGCAACCCAAGTATGTGCCCTGGCCAGGAATTGAACTGGCAGCCTTTTGGTGCACAGGATGACGCTCAAGTAACTCAGCCACTCTGACCAGCCTGTGTTTGATTTTTGTAAGATTTTTTATATTGCTGACCACTTCCTTTATTTAAGCTATCCCTTTTGTTTTTGCCGTTATCTCCTGTTTTTCTTTCTTTTGGAACACTCTGTAGTCTCGATTACTTTCATTTCTTCTATGTTCAATTTTTTGGTGTTTCCTTGGCTTCTGAACTCTGTCTTTCCCATTTTTCTCTTTTTGTACTTTCTAAAATTTCTTCCTAAGTCATCTGCTATTTTTTCATGGTTTCAAAATTAATATCTATGCACACAAATACGTGCATGTATGGTCCTTACCTCTCTTTTGAGCTATAGAACTGTTTTAATTTGTAATTCTCTCCATTTTTTCTTTCATTTACAGGTTTGGGGATTTCAGTTCAGAAAAATATGTTAACATCTAACATCATTTTTTCCCTGTCTATTGAGAGTCTATATTGAACAGTTTCTCTTTCCATTTACTATTTCACCCATAAATCCTAAATTTTAGTAATACCTATAAGTTTGTATTTGCCTAGTTCTATTAAAATTCCAGATTCACTGTATTATAACAGTATTTGTACATTGATCTAGAGATATCAGAGACCATAAATATCAAATGTAGTCCATTTTTCTGTTGTCATTATCAGTGACCTTGTTTTATTGCATTAAAGTCTATGGTGAGTAATTTTTAATCTTTTAACTCAATTTTCTTTTTGACTCACTGATAAAAGTTAGCTTGTAGCAGTGTAGCATAGTGGCTCAGAATGTGGACTCTGAAGTTAGACTGCCTGGGTTCAAATCTCAGACAGGTTGGACAAGTTGCATGTCATGCCTGTACCTGACTCTTCATCAGTGAAATGGGGAAAAATGATAGTTTGAACAGGATTGTGTGAGGATTGAATGAGTTAATACTTGTAAAGTGCTTAGGTCAGTGCCTGGCACAAAGCTCTCAGTTACTGTTGCCTCCTCATTTACAACTGAAAGTACTTACAACAGATTCTGGTTTATAGAATATGAAAGACCTCAAAATATGTTAACTATGACTGTAATTGTTTTGTTGTTTAATATCTGTGGTTTAGTACAGTATACTTAATAAATAAAGACTTTTCCTTCTTTTTTCCTCAGAGTGTTACAGTGATTTTTTAAATGAAGACTTTGATGTAAAGACTTATACGTCCCAATCTATTCATCAAGCTGTAATTGCTGAACAACTAGCAAAACTCGCCCAAGGAATCAGTCAGTTGGATAAAGAACTACACCTACAGGTAATTGCAATCTTCTGGATCATACAGATTGTTCAGCCTAAAGTGATGTTATCATTTTATAATCCTTTTATTATTTAATCTAAATGCATGTTTATATAAACAAATGTATAACTTACTAGTGTGGCTTATTTTTCAAAGTATACTTTTGAAAAGTTTTCTGTAAAGTACTTTTTGTTAGTTGAAAAACTAATATACTGTTATGTTCAATACATATTATTCATACTTTCTTTCACCACCTTAACTCATGTACAATGAATATAGGTGAACAAAGAATAAGATGACTTTGATAAAGATAATAGAAAATGGAATTTAGAAAGTAGAACATTGTGAATAAAAAAAAATTGGGATGCTCACATTGGCAGTTCATACATTATGAGCACAAAGTGTAACAGTTGGTGAAAGCTGATAAATTTGTGGTAGACAGAATACAGTATAGGGTGTTAGGAGTTGGGTTCTAATAGCAGCTGTGCTGTTGCCATTGATATCATTTAATGCCTTTGAATCTTCCTTAAAAAGAATTTATTAAGTGTGTTAGAGTGAATAAGGAAGATGAGATTATAGTAGAAAATCTTGAAGGATTTCTTCCTCTACTACAATTCTATAATTTTTTTAAATTAAATTTTTTTTTTATTACTGGTAGTTTTTTTTTGTGTGTGTGTGTTTTAATGTTTCTTTATCTTTATTGTTGAGACCATTACAGATGTCCCCCTTTTAACCCTACTAATCCCCTCCACCCCACATCCATGCCACCCCCAGGCCCTCCCCACACCAATGTCCACGTCCATGGTCCATGCCCATAAACATACAAGTTCCCTGATTAATCTCTCCCCATCCACACACCCCTCCCCGCCTTCCCTCTGAGATCCCCTCAGTTTGTTCAGTATGTTACTGGATCCACTTTGTTCATCAGTTTATTTTGTTTATTATATTCCACATATAAGTGAGGTCATTTGGTACTTGTCCTTTTCCTACTGGCTCATTTCACTTAGCATAATACTCTCTAGTTCCCTCCCTGCTATGCCAAAGGCCAAAAGGTCCTTCCTTTTCACAGCTGCATAGTACCCCAGGGTGTAAATCTGCCACAGCACTTTTATCCACTCATCATCTACTGATGGGCACTTGGGCTGTTTCCAAATCTTAGCTATTGTGAATTGTGCTGCTATGAACATACGGGTGCATAAGTTCTTTGCAATTGGTGTTTGGGGTTCTTTAGGATATATTCCTAGAAGTGGGATCACTGGTCAAAGTGCAGGCCAATTTTTAATCTTTTGAGGAAACTCCATACTGTTTTCCATAGTGGCTGCACCAGTCTGCATTCCCACCAGCAGTGTACTAGGGTGCCCTTTTCTCCACAACCTTGCCAGCACTTGTAGTTCGTTGACTTGTTGATGGTAGCCATTCTGACAGGTGTGAAGTGATACTTCATTGTGGTTTTAATCTGCATCTCTCTGATGATTAGCGACATTGAGCATTTTTTCATATGTCTCTTAGCCATCTGTATGTCCTCTTTGGAGAAGTGTCTATTTAGGTCCATTGCCCATTTTTTAATTGAATTGTTTGTCTTCCTTTTATTAAGTGGTATAAGTTCCTTATGTATTTTGGATATTAACCCTTTATCCAATGTGTCATTGGCACGTATGTTCTCCCATACAGTGGGCTCCTTTTTCGTTTTGTTGATGGTTTCCTTTGCTATGCAGAAGGTTTTTATTTTGACGCAGTCCTATTTGTTTATTTTCTTCTTAGTTTCTCTTGCCCTAGGAGATGTATCAGCAAACATATTGCTATGAGAGATGTCTGAGATTTTACTGCCTATGTTTTCCTCTAGGATTTTTATGGTTTCATGCCTTACATTTAAGTCTTTTATCCATTTTGAATTTACTTTTGTGTATGGTGTAAGTTGGTGGTCCAGTTTCATTTTTTTGCATGGATCTGTCCAATTTTTCCAACACCATTTATTGAAAAGACTGTCTTTTCTCCATTGTATGTTCTTGCCTCCTTTGTCAAATATTAATTTACCATAGTGGTATGGGTGAATTTCTGGGTTCTCTGTTCTCTTCCACTGATCTATATGTCTGTTCTTGTGCCAGTACCAGACTGTTTTGATTTCAGTGGCTTTGTAGTATAACTTGATATCTGGTATTGTGAGCCCTCAAACTTTGTCCTTCTTTCTCAGGATTGCCATGGCTATTCAGGGTGTTTTTTGGTTCCAGATAAATTTTCGAAGTGTTTTTTCTAGATCTGTGAAATATGCTGTTGGTATTTTAATAGGTATTGCACTGAATTTATAGATTGCTATGGGTAATATGGACATTTTAATGATGTTAAGTCTTCCAATCCATGAACATGGTATATTTTTTCATTTGTTTATATCTTCCTCTATTTCTCTTTTCAGTGTCCTATAGTTTTCTGAGTAAAGGTCTTTTACATCTTTGGTTAAGTTTTTTCCTAAGTATATTATTTTTTTAGTTGCAATGGTTAATGGGATTCTTTTTTTTTTTAGTTTCTGTTTCTGAGAGTTCATTATTGGTGTATAAAAATGCTATCGATTTCTGGGTGTTAATTTT